GGGGCGGGGGGAAGCACAGCTGCGGAGTTCTGATGGGTCCCCACCTTGTGCTGCTGCTTGGCCGAAGTCTCCTCGTCTATGCCCCATCCATAGCCACTCCCCTCCCTGACAAATGAATTTAAATTTTCGTTTGATGTCGTTTTATGGGCTTAATATCACAGAATCGATCAGGCTGGAAAAGACTTCTGAGGCCACCGAGTCCAACCCATGACCGAACGCCACCGTGTCACCCAGACCATGGCACTGAGTGCCACGTCCAGCCTTTCCTAAACACCTCCAGGGACGGTGGCTCCACCACCTCCCTGGGCAGCCCATTCCAATGTCTAATCACCCCTTCTGTGTAAAAAACTTTTCCTAATGTCCAACCTAAACCTCCCCTGGTGCATCTAAAGTCTATGTGCTCTCATTCAGTCACCGCTTGCTTGGGAGAAGAGGCTACAACCCCATCTGGCTACAACCTCCTTCCAGGTGTAGTAATATAGTCCTATTTAACTAATATAGTACTACTTAAACTAATTTGTATTTAATACAGCCTTACACTTTAACACAGTTCCGTTTAAAGCAATGCTTACCTGGTATTCAGTGCAGGTTTCCTCCCTGTCACGCTTTTCTTCCCAACACGCGCAGTCACGGCCGTGCTCAGCCTTGGGATCACCCTGCAGGCCACTCCACGGGTGTTTGCCCAGAGAGGGGCTGATCACAGAGCGCTTTTTAAAGTTCCTGGGACTCCGTGAAACGGACCAAGCTGACTCTGATTCTGGTTTGAGTCATATTGGTCAACCCATCGGGTGGTTTCCCGCTGGGAATGATGGAGGGGGGGAAAAAAGTGACATCTGCTGACTCTTCTAAGTTCCAAGGAACTGAAGAAAAGTTTCTGTTTCTTCAAACTTTTCGGCTTGGTCTCACAAAGTCAGCACTGCGAGCCCCAAGTAGGCAAGACACACTCTCTCCCTTATGCCCAAAGTATAGTTTTTCTCTTGAGATAAGTGGTTTTTATATTTTTTTGATTCTGGTATCTGAGTAATACAGATTATATATTTGTATAGGAAATGTTAATAATAAACAAGAGATGTTATCTTTTGCTTACAGAAACCCACGTGATTTCTGTGTCTGAGACATGCAGAAAATTACCACACACTCAGCGGGTTTGGAAATACTAGTTTATCCACTTTCCTGCTATCCACAGGCATTTACACTGTTCCCAAGGTGCCAAGGGAAAACGTTACTTTTCTGAAGCTTGGTTAGGACAGGGTTTTTTTTTTTCTTTCCTTATTTTAAGTGCTGTGTAAAAGGATGCAGGCTAAGGGAGGAGGCAAGTCTAACACCTATAAAATGAAGCAGGAGGCCTCTCCCTCTGCCTCTCCAGGAGGATGGTGCCAGAAGAGATGCAGCCACAAGCCAGCACTGTTACTTTCATCCCTTACCACCTGTAGGATCCTTTTCCCTGGTAATTGCTCTGTTGCTGATGATGCTTAGGATTTAAAGGAGGAAGATACACTCCAGCTCTGTTTGAATTCTTAGAGACGTCTGGCCAAGTAGCATCCTTACAGGATTAGGTTTGCATTCTCTTAAAAATGCAACTGCTAATGTAGGCAGCTGCAATTGCTAATTGCTGTCACAGCACTCATGGTGAGCAATTTTCAAAAATGTAAAATATGAGGGAAACCAGAGCGGCAGAGTTTTTTTAGGCATGACTTCCTCTTAGTTATTTTTCCTGACAAGTTACCTTCGTTGTCCTTATCCAGGCCTAGTATAGGCAGGAATGCTGTATAAGATAATATATATCTGCTGCTGCCAGAAAGGGGCTCTGCACATTACTCAATGAGCCCACTGACATCCTTCCTGTTTTCACTGACACGTGAAAACGTGTTCTCCCTCCCACCTCGGTAACTTCCCTGCTGTTCCTTACCTCCTCCCAGAGAGCTGGGGAATGACGTCAGGTGGGTGAGGCAGCTTCGAGGGCATGGACACCACCTGTGGAAGAGGTCAGAGGCTCCTGAAGGCTACTTTCATTATGAATGAAAACAGAAAGCAGCAGCTGCCACCATGCTGGGCTCCTGGGGTGGGGTTTATTTGTTGGAGGGCCTTTTCCTGGTGTTATTTCTTAGACACACGTGGCTGATCCGTGCAGGACGTGCGATCCTGCTCATCTCAGAGGGCTGCCATAGCTCTTTGCCCAAGAAAGCAATAGAGAAAGTCATCCCTAGGAGTCCAGTTGCTCTGTTCATAGTTTATAAAATAGCAAAACCTCTGGGTTCCTAACTGAGACTGGGGACTAACAGGCTTACAGTGTAATTAAACAGCCGTGATTGTCACAACATTGGTCTCCTGAGCTATGGATGAGAGCTGACCTCCTGTGTCCAAGAGTCCATACACTTATTTTTCTTTTGGCATCAAGGGAGAATTCCTTGTGGACTGGCCTTTTGACACCAGAGGGTTCAAATTACCCTCGCCCTCCCTGGTAATCACAGCTTTCTCCCACTACCATTTTTTCTCCCACTACTATTTGAAAGCAAGAGACCAAAAGGACAGGAAGAACTGTGGGGTTTGAAAGGTCCTCAAAGAACTGCTACCCTACCGAGCTGCACAAATGAATGAGCCAGCTGAGCACCTGCAGCACAGCCTGTTGGCCCAGCCTCCAGGCAAGGGGAAATCCGAAGCCCATCATGCCTCCTGCTGCCCTAATAGGTCTGCTTTAATCACACCACCTCAGGAACAGCAGGGTTTATCCTTTGTTTTGAGAGTGGTTGAGTGGGCAGGAAAATAAAACTCATTGTTTGGGATTTCCCTGGCTGGGATTTCCCCACAGCATCCTGTGTGAAATTTCTTTAAAAAAAAAAAAAAAAGGCATAAAGTTTTTTCTCTCAAGTCTCCTTACTGACAGTAGTGCTGCTGTCTGGATGTCACTATGCCAGGCTTCAAGCTCCTGATGTTTACTGGACCCAGCACCGACCACTGAGGCTGAACACCCGCCCTTTTCAAACAGGAGATACCCAGATGCCTTTTCTTGACTCTTGAGCTGGTGAGGTTGAAATCCTGAATCCTTCCAGTCTGTTCAAGGGGCACAGCTCTGGAGCTGCACCTTGCGTAGCTCATATGGCAGAGCTGGCACAGCACAGATGAGACATGAGCACAGAATGGTGGAGACTTAAAGCAACACAAAGTCAGCACAGAGGCATTTGTGTAATTCTCTCCTTGTTTTACACCAGTGTCAGATGTTCAGGCTGGTTCTGCAGGCTGAGAAAGTGAGCTACAGTTACAGAAATTAAATCCTACAATTCAGTTTATATTACCTTCATCCCTTCTTGGCTATTTACCATAACTTCTCTTCACAAGAAATCCAAAAAACAATGTAAAATATGGAGAGGGGAAGACCTTGTATTTGGGCTTTATCAAGAGTGATTTGTTTCCATCAGATAATTCAGAGTGACTCAGATTGTTCCAGCAAAAGAGAAATCAAGGCCAGGCCCTTTAACACCTAAGTTTTTATCTCTAGATCACCTTCCCTCAGCTCCCAGCTTGCTCCTCAAATCATCAATCACGGGAGTGAATGCAAGGGAAACAAACGGTAACTCCACCAACAAAAAAGAAAAAAATAATTAATGATTTTATTTTTTTGTTCTTTTTTTTTTTAGTTCAGTTGGCCATCTGAGGTGCTAAAATCTCAACACCAACGAAGCAAGTGTGCATAAAAACAAACAATAAAACACAACCCAACAGAAGAAAACAGGCTGGAACAGAGTTGGTTTTGTACAGGTAGGGTATGCGCTTTTCCTCTTAACACTCCATACATGCCAACCGTAAGAGCCTCGAACAATCTGAATATCAGAGTTCACTTTCATACAAAAGGGAAGATGCCAAAGCAGATCCCTTCACCTGGATTAGACTTCACACACACACGCATGCACGCACAGATACAGAGTATTTAAGTTACTGCAATGCCATCAGAACATGGCATCCTCCCCTTCACATCCGCTTTCAGTGACACCCTCATCTGCCTGCTACCCTGCCTATAGCAGTACTCTGAGCACTCCAAAAGCAGGAACTTTTGGAAAGCTTCTAATATTTTACAACAGTTGAGAGCCAGCGATCTCTTTCTCTGTGAACTATATACAGGCTGGTTTTTAGTATGCTTTAGAGTTCTCTTTCTTGCAGATGGTGATGACTGAAATTCCCAGAAAGCCATATCGTGGCTTTTCAGTTTGTACACAGGAGATTTTATAATGCAACACCTTTCTCGTCCACTGGTGTCCGGTGTAAACACTTAAACTGAAAACTCATCTTAAAAGAATGTTAACCAAACAAGGTGTAGCTGTGAACATTTTAGGAACAGCTGCTCACAAAATGGAACTGCCAGCTGCTCTAGATCATGCAGTCTAGACCACTTATAATACTTCATAACGTTCAGGATTAGGATGTATAAAAATATTAAAAACCACCAGAGTGCACACAAATGTGGTGACTAGCTCTATGCAAGCACCGTGTTCTAAGAGAAGGCCTAGGCATTGCACAAAACTCAGATTCTTGACCGTGGGGGTAACCCAGGGATCCACTTGGTGTCTTTACATACAAACAAATATTTACATAAAATGCAGAGACGGAGAGAGAGAAGGACAGACTTTTAAAACTTGCGGTTTGCTCTAAAATATGTTGTTCAGCAATGCAGTTTGTAACATGCCCTAGTGAGACCATGGGGTATTGGTTAACTGAAAGAAGGAGTATGTCTGAAAGTTGGAGCTGAAATGTCTCGTCACCTCCCCACACATTAGTTCTCTGAAGCTCAGGATTTTACAGCCATTTGTGAGTTTTCATGAGAATATGGTTAAAAAAACAGAACAGTTAAAATAAAAATGTACTGTGAAAACAGCATATTAGTTGTTTTGGTAGTCCTCACTCCCCCAGTCCCACTTGCCTCCTGGGTGTTTCCAGGAGGTTGGTATCCCCCTCCCTTCCCCGTAGGGGACTGAAGTGCTTGCCCCATCCTCAGTGTGCCCATTTCAAAACGAACACAGCTTGGGTTCCAAGCTCGGCTCTCTCCCTACCTCCTGCAGGGATGAAGCAGCCAGCCCCTGGTACAGACCGTGTCACCTGGGACAGACACCCTGGAGTGCCCACTCCTCGGAAGCTGAGGGCCTTTTCGCTCTCCTCACACGTGAAATGGACACACGTCATCGAATGCACATGGCCGAGTCACGTGCTGCTGCCCACCCCGGGCAGCACAAAGAGCTAGAACATCCTACTTGCATTCTGATACAAATAAGGAATCTTGTGGCCACAAGAGCCTTCTTCAGCTTTAAAAATATAAAATTTGAATTAAAAATATTCAGATAGTAAAAAAACCCAGTATCTGATATGCAAGTCGTATTCTTAAAGTGCAACTGAACAGCAAATACGAGTTGTGCCTTTTACAACCATTTTGATATAAAAAGGCCTTTTAACATTCCCTTTCATGTATTTTTAATTAATTTGCGTGTGCGATGTTAGCTCTTCATTTTCATTCTCACTGCTGGAGGCCTTCAGCATAACCTAATGAGTTTAGGTTTAGATTATGTGGTCTTCTGGTGCAGTAAGAGATTATGCCCTCAAGTGATATCACTCTTCAGCGCTGCAAAGATCTGGCCCATGTCCCCCAGCATGAAAGGGAAAAGGAGTGATCTGGTATTTCTCCTTCAGGACTTTGTTCTGTTCTGCAGCTCACATTCAATGACTTTTCGTTACGGGTTAGGTGTGGTCCATATACCCAGTGCACATAAAATGTACTGAGGTCAATTCTCTGCACAAGACAGTTCACAATAAACTTTATATCTGGCTTCCCTCTTTCTTCCCTCCTTCTCCGCTCCAGCTTCCAGTGGCCTCTAAAATGCAGATTATGTAAACTTCCACTGCCAGTTTGACTTGGGCAGCTGGCATCTGCACTGGCAAATGGGGGGAATTCTGTCTGTTGGACATCCTGTCAGTAAGCCAACACTCCAGGATGCTGGGATAGCAGGTATCACTTGCTAACATACACAATTATGAAATAGCACTGCATCTGCCTGTCTGCTTGGTTTCACGAGCATCTGGATTTAATTTGTAATGTCTTAGCAGAAAACACTAGGGGGAATAAAGGAGGGACACTTCAAGTGGAAAAGACATGTTTCCACAGTTAGCAACCAGCACCACTCAGAGTCTCTGGGGACACCCCAACCCATTCTCCCTCAGCCTGAGGTACGCTCCCAGGTCAGAGAGGAATTCAAATCATAGACCTTGCCTTACAGGACACCTCTCTGAAGGAAGGAGAGAGCCAACAGCAAGAAACCACGCTAACCTCTGTCCCAGGGCAAAAGACTAAAGGATGTTCAGCCCTGCTTGGGTGCCTTGCACCAGCAGTGTAAATTCAAGCTGAAAGAGTCAGTGCTCTGTACGAATGTGCTCGGGAATGGGACACTTTCTCAAAGACTTTGGGAAGAAGGTTTAGTACTTCTTTAACAAGAAAAGAGCACAGTCAGCATCCCAAGGTGGGAAAACCTCTTAATGCATCGCATGAAGGACAGGACACCTCCCCAGCACATGGTGCTGTTTCAGCTCTGCAGGACAAGGTAAGGACATGGTGTGCCCAGGGAATGTGTCAGACAGTGAATGGTGCTGAATTGCTCAGTGCATATCCTGCTCATTGTTAGTCTGTGATCACGGTCAGCACCCTCCCAGCTGAAAAGCTTCACTAGCTGAGCCAAGAGGAGTTTCTTCCAATAGATGCAGCAAGAAATGTGCTATTTTTGTTTTCATGGAAGTCCCTCTAGCTGTATCTCAGGAGCGTGAGGGTCCCCTCTTTCAGTGAGAAAGAGACGTGGGATATTTCTACCTCACCGTTTTGGCTTTCCCGTTATAAAAATGTAAAATTTAAATAAATATAGGTTTATTAGTCCAAAAGAGGGAATCTGGGATGCAGAAGAAAAGGACGCTAAGAACACAAATAGATTCTTAAACTCCATGAGTGTGCAGGGTTTTTTCATAGAGGAAAACTCCTAGGGCAGGATGCATCCGTGGGTACATAAAGGCTGCCCTTGCTGTGAAGCAGGGACCAATCCGCAGTAGTGTCTTTCTCTAACAGAGTTAAAACACTCCCTCCACAATCAAATAAGTGTAACAATCAAATTATTAATAAGAACACTAATAAATAGCCACAGGTAACAACGTCCAGTAATTTAGAAGTGGAAGTTGTAGGATGCAGCAGGCACACACACTCATCACTCGTCCATTTGTTTCCTAAAAGATACAAAAATGAATCTTCTTTCAAGTATTAAAAAAATAAGTTAATTGACATAAAAGGGTCAAAGTGACTGAGGGCCCAGGCAGGTCTTAAGCTTCGTTTCCAATGTGCAAAAACAAAATACAGAGGAAAAAAAAAATAAAAACACTGAAAAGTCTTAATGGTGGTTCGGTCACTTAAGGGCTTCTCCCTTTCAGGGGCCTAACAGCCAGGGAATGCTGCCTGGGAACACCCCTGCCCCAGCACGCACTTACCACTGTCCCACAGCAGTATTTTCCAGTGTCAAAACAGTCACAACGAAAACAGAACAAGGAAGCCCACCAGTCTCTGAGCTGTGGCCATGAAGACTAAGGCCAGCAGTAGCTGTCTCTCCAGTGTGTAGCAAAGCAGATGGGCATCTTCCCTCTCTCTTCTTCTCCCCTTGTTCCCCACAAGAAGATTTAGGAGGCTATGACAGGGAGAGAGTCTACTGATGCCCACTTCTCTCTAAAAACCAGGAGGCAGAAAGTTCTGTCACACATACTAGCAGTATCTTCTCTGTCTCGTATTTCTTCATATCCATGCATAATGATCAACTGCAGGTTTCTTTGGTGGGGAGGAAGACTAAAGCAAAGAAGGTGTTGCCCTGGGCTTCTGGAGCTCTCTCGGACAGCTGACTCCACTGCTACAGGCTGCTGTGGTTTTCCAGGAAGGGTTGCCACTTCCCTCCCTTTTATAAGAACTGGTGTAGCAAAAATGGGGAAGGAATGGACTGCCATAAATCCAGCTTAGTTAAGGGCACTTCTTCCCTTAACCTCCTTCCCCACACATGGATTATTCCCCTCCCTCCTACCACACACACAAAAATACGGTCCATTTGTATAGGACCTAAAGGAGACTCCACAGTCTCAACTCATTTCTTCAACTTGGCTTGCAGACATGTAAAACTTAAGCTTCTGGAACCAACACACTTATCAAAAGGCTTCTGCGTGGTTCAAACCAAATTCCTGCATGCTGTCGGACCCTTCGGAGATTTCCCCTTCAACATCTTCCTATCCGTGTAATTCTGGCAAACTCAGGGTAGGTCAACTGGACAACACAGACCAGCAGAGGTAAATGTGTTAAGCTCAGGACCAGTTCAAGCTGAAACCTTTGGAAAGCATGACTGCCTCCAGGTCCTTGTCTTCTTCTTTTTCTCGAAGCCGTTGCTCCTCCAGGAGAGCCACAAGAGAATCTCTCTGCTCCACTACTTCTAGCATCTCGTTCAGGATCCTCTTCTCCTCCGAGAGCTCCTCATCTGTCTTCAGATGATCTACAGAGACATCCAAAACTATCAGCATACAAAAGGCTAGAAATACACACACACAAAATCCATGAAATATTCCCTTTTGCTCTCACCTTCTACTGCCATCCTCTCCCGGAGTTCCTGCTGTAATCGACTCTGCCTGTCTTCCAGTTCTAGCTCCCGAGCACTGAAAGGGAAACATCAGAAATCCAAATTCTGGGTATGTTAAAATACTGCATACATTGCTTCATACACACTCTCAGTTTCTACTCCCTCTCTAGATATTCACTGTGCATTTTACCAATCTGTTTCAGAATATATCTTCAGTGTTTTAAGAGTTGTAAGTGTATTTTTAAAAGATTTAATGGTACTTTCAGCATTTCAGGTTCTTTGCCTTCAGGTAGGATGTGCAACACCAAAAGTTTTACAGGTTGTGGGTGGGATTAAATCTAAAACAGAAGGAAAGAACAAACAAATCTGCAATACCTCTGTGTATCTCCTGCTACTTTCCACTCTAAAGACAAAGTTACTTATTAACTAAGGACATCAGGTCACTTGCAGATTGCAATGCAGACAACATGTTTGGGCTTTTCTGCTACAGGCACTAAGGCCATCAGCTCCACACTGCCAGGGTGAGCTGACATACTCAGAAATTAATTTTAGTGAATGTGCATCATGGGAACAGAGAAAACTCCCAATTTCACTAACAGGAAAAAAGCTTTATCACCTGAGCCCAAATGAGAGGCACTGCAGGCAGAGAGGAGGCCCACATGGCAAAGGTGACTGAGTTAAACACTTTTGGCTTTGCTTAAAAGCAAACTCTACCAAAACCAGGAGACACACATTATTTCTGCACAGCTCAAAAACACTTGCATAAACAATGTTTGTTTTATACAAGAACAGCTTGAGAAGGACTCACATATCTGTACTTCTGCATGTGCACAAATAATTGGACCTTCTATTTCTTACTGCTATTACTCCTTCTTCTACCTCTCTTCTGAAATGTACTTGGACTCATATCTCAGCCAAAAATCAGCCTAAGAGGCTGCTGACCTCCTGGCCCTATAGGGAACACAGTACTGACAGATCTTCCAATACTATTTATGACACAATCCCCATTTTGAACACATTGACTCACAATATCATCAGCTCGGACTCGTAGCGAACCAAGGCATTCTTCTCCTGCACCAGCTTGAACCACTCCTGCATCAGCTTGGGGTCATCCTTCTTACCCATGCCTGCCAAAAAAGAAACCTGTTAAGTTTTCAGGTGATGCCCTGCAATCCTGACAAGCCCAAACCGCAAAAAACAACGATGGGGCAAAATGTGCAAAGAAAGCCGAGCAAGATGCTGCCAGAGCACTCCCAAGCCGGGTCCATTCAGTTTGCCTAGAGTACACAGTAGAGTGGAAGTCACCTCCAAAAGGATTCTCTTCTCTTTGGAGCCTAATTTATTTTTCCCTTCCTGATTTTCTTGCGATTGCTTGTTTCTTCCTCACTCTTACTGCAGAAACCCCTAAGCATTTAATTTTTCCTTTCATCAGAAGAGTTTTATAGACCCTCAGGCCAGCTACTTAAATGTATGCTCATCAGAAAAGGATTCAACTGCCGCTCCATGTGTTTGACCTTTATTTTCTTCAATTGCATGTCCTCAATCTTTTCTTTTACTAGCCAAAAGTAACACCTTTTTTTTTTTAAATGGCTAAATAAATCTTTTCTGACTCCTCCTCCTAGACACGTGTATCTATTTATCTTGAAGATCCCCACTGCACAGTGAACACAGAAACTAAGTCTACTGTATTGCACATCAGCACTGGAAAGAAAAAGAACCCCCAGACACATTTGCTAACATCAAAGCAGAATAAAGATACCTTGGGCCTTGGCCACCTAGTACAGAATTCTTAGCTGGAATTTCTTTTATTTTAAACCCAACTGCTAAACTTACTCAATAATCCATTGATGAATCTTGTATCTGTCAGGAGTCACGTGGAATAAATGCAGAACGCTGTTCCCAAAGCCTTCTGTTGATATTTATCAAACACAAGAGCTTACAAGCTCTTGGTCTGGGCCACTTATTCCACGTTGAACTGCCTGCAGATGAATTCTGTGACTCAGATCAGACCCCATCAAGGACAGTAACAATGCTCCTGCCTGGATAGAAGTGGATGCAGAAGACCTCAAATCAAGCTCAACAGCACTTTCAGTTTGCTGCATGCTATCAGCTTGCATTGTATGTAACCAAGGCATCCCAAAATAACTAACATCCCTGCCTATATTTGTTATTATGGATACATACTCTCTACATCAAGAACAAAAGCTCTCAAACAGTCCATTCGATGCTAAAATAGTCAAGCAGCAATCTTACTGTGCAAACTCTGTGAGACACTTCACCGACACGGCATTAATGGCTGGTTAATTCAGACCCACGCCCTGCCTCATCCTCAGCATGTCACACAAGTGCTGCCCTGGAGCTACACAAGGGAGAGCCTACAACTCCTAGAAAATCTTTGGCTTAGGCTGAGAATACCTGCCTTTCACTTGTCATAGCAGCCCCTTGGGCGATACCAGACCCGGTTGCACCACCTTAAGACTTTATACGAGTGTGTTGCTCAGTTCCAAGCATTCCTTTCTGAGCATCTCTGCACAGTATGCCCACAGTGGCGACAGGAGAGGGAGACTGTACATGCAGATGTCCAGTGCTGTGGCGCCATGAAAACACTGGGAAGTCTCCCCTTCCCTTCTGATGCCAGGATGTGTAGAAAACAAATGCCTCTAAGAAAAAGCCGAAAACACAACGCTACTGACCTATGAAATACGTAAGTATTTTTAAACAGCCAATGAGCAGAGGAATAATGGGAGGATTGGAAAGGGAGCACTGACAACTGATGTGAAGGGAGCACCATGGAAAGCAGATAAGTGGTTAGCAAAATTACACCATGAACACACATAAACAACCCCTTCCCCATGCCTTGGCAATGGAAACTCTACAGTAAACTCCTTTTGGGACGGTTAAAGAATGCACTCAGCAAGGCAGATGAGGGAAAACTGGTCTAACTTAAGGTCTGTTGGTTTTTAAAGTTCAAGGATGTTTTTGCAAACCAGTCCTTATAAAGACACAGTATTCCTTTAATCCCTACATGGTAATTAAAGGGCCATATTTAAGGAAACAGATTTTCTTCCCTTACCCCACCTTCCAAACATCTTTCAGGAGGAATAGAGAAATTGAAGCCAGCAAATGAAAACAGAAACTTTCGAGTGTGACATTATTGGCCCCACGGCTGCTGCCCAGGGCCCCTCCCAGTCGCTACACCTTCTCTAGCACAGCTGGGACTCACAAAAGGGATACTGTACCTTTAGTAACTTGCCACAGGCTCAGAGAAGCTGGTTATCGGGTTGCTACAGAGAAGGTCGGTTTTGAGGATACAGCAAGAAAAGGGCTGGGGACGGGGCTGGGGGGGCCTTGTGGTCACTATCTGACTAGTGCTGCTATGACAACCCAGCTGTGGTCAAGGAGGACGGGGAGCGTGAGGTTACGTTACCTTCATGGGCACAGCAAGGGCAGAAGGAGAGAGGTCTACGACGTGGTGTCCCGGCATTGGGCTCAACTTCAATAGGACCAAACGAGGAAGAGGAAGAGGCAGGAGAGGAAGAGGAAGTTGGAAGTGGAACGGAAGAGGAGGAAAGGGGTGAAATAAAAGACAAGCAAAGGACAAAAAGCATAAGAGTGAGAAAGAAAGGAAACACAAGAAGAAAAGAAAAGAAAAAAATACAAGAAATGGAGAAGCAGAAACAAGGGATACAGTCTACAGATGAATAATGTCCCTAATAAGCACAGATAACACATGAGAGGTAGACTGAGGTACTGGTGAACTCTTACTGAGCTGTACAAATACCAGGCAGGAGGTTACTGTTAGTGCATTTTTCCTAATGTACATTTTTCAATTGCATGGTCTTTAACCAAAAAGTTTGTGACCCAGATCTCAGGACTAGCAGAGATGAATATTCAACTCCTGCTGATAACATCAAATTTCAAGCACGGTTACAGTAAGTCTCGCCTGCATATGTAAGACACCAGCTGTAAGCAGCCACCCTACCTTAAAGCCTTATCAGGACCATGCTCTTATCACCGTGGCATCATCCACTGATGGTAAAAGTGTCCTCTATAATGGAATATAATGTCTTCAGACAGGGAACATCACAGGGAGAATCCGATTACCGTGGAACCAGCCTGCCAGGATCTGCTGTGTCAAGTATGGTGAGTACACATGTACTCAACTGGGTTGTTGTGCTTAGAGAGGAGAAGGCTTTTACATGGATAAACACGTGATTTGCATCAGGATCTGCAGGGGCAGTGACCAACTGAGGGCTTTGCAGAGTTAAAACAGTAAATTTAAAGCTCTCCCTTGACGTTCTCATTTCACACAGCATTTTAAAGCTTACAAGTCCTGTTAGTATCGGTGACTTACTGAATCTTTGGCATCTTTTCTGTCAGACATCGAAGGACAAACACTTCTCATCTCTCAAAAGGTTCAGCTGCTTTAACACCAAGAATTTGCTTTTCAGCTGTACTTAACGTTACAGAGATAAACAGTAGGAAATAACCAACATCACTAATAGTTACAGGAGGACATGCACCAGGGAGGTGATGAGCCTGAAACACCAGAGGAGCAGAATGGAACACTTACTGCTCTCAGGGCACAACCACATTTATAAAGAGAAGGCATTTCTGTGTTGGGAAAAGGCATAAACTCCACAACAATAATATGGTAAGAATAACTCTTTTTTTTTTTTTTTTTGGAAAAGTCAGCAGGGTTTGATGTATGTGGTTCAGAGAAAGCTTTATAGAACTAGAATACTCGTGGACTGGGAAGGCTTTAGAAGGGACCATCACAGAACTAGACCAGCACATGGAGGACACACTGGAGCAAGAGGGAGAGCACATCGGCTTCAAAGCCTGTGACTGAGCTGCGTGGCTTTCTCAGACAGGAAGAAACCTCTGTACTGGGAGCAGGAAGGGGTGACATTAGGAGAGGTGCCACAGTTGGCCATAGGACAGTTACAAATAAAGCATCGTACCCACGTTAGGTGACAGTACCAGAACCTTAGTCATAGTTGTTCTGAACTTTCGAACTTCTTCATTTGAAATGAAAAAAATACTAAGGGTTTTTTTTTTTCCCTACAATTGCCATTTCACAGATCAGGTTATAAAAGCAATAACAAACAAGAAAAACTCCAAACCACAAAGGCACTGTGAAGAATAAGCTTCCACACAAAGCAGAGCATTAAGTGCACGACACTTACTAAATAATTTTTTATTTCACATCCTATCTTGTTCAACACTAATTCTTCCATATAAGCTTTAATACTCTAACTTGCTCTAACCACTGTTGGGGGGGCAGGACATGGGTATTTAACTGTATGGAAATATCCACTTCAATTTTTCAGGGTTTGAGATTTCATTCAGAATTGGAGGGTGATAAATGTCAAACCATGGACATACAGACTTGGTGAGGAACTCCCAATTTTTCATATTTGATCTGAAAAAAGAAATACCCAGTATGTGAAAATGTCCTTCATCTCACTGTGAAATGGCCACAAAACTACCAGTATTAGTCATCAGTGCACAAATGATCTGATACTAGGAAAGGATACCATCTTTGATCTCCAGTAAAAAGACACAGGACTTACACAGCAGCTGACTAATACGGAGCTCACACCCCAACTCTATTTTCTACCTTTGCTCTTAGTTATACTCTCACTCTTGTCTAAGGAAAATTTGTCCTTGGATCAAGTTGCAAAGTCCATGGTATCTACAATAGTCCTGCTACTAGAAATGTTGACATTGTTTTTCAGTAAGATAACAAACATAACCTGTACAATTAAGAGCCTTTCCATCTACTTCAGATGTAAATTACAGTTGCATCAGTGAATATATGATCATTACAATTGCTTTGGGAAAAAATTCTGTCCAAAGCAGGATGATTAGCAAGGCTTTAAGGAGTTTCCTTATGTACTGGAGGTCCTTAACAGCAAAAAAAGAGGAAAGTACAACCTGAAAACTTAACTCCCAGTGGTTCTCTAAAGCTGTGAAAATTATTATGTCCTAAAAAGTGCCATAATCTGAAGCTGCAAGCATTATAAAACATATCATGCAGCAGAATTTTAAATATATTTTTAGAAACAACTCTTAAGGTGATAGTCATGAAAACTGCCTCCCCATTCTTGCTAATAAGGAGTATCAGCACATGGTATGCACTCTGAGCAGACTGAAATAGAAACTTTTAAATTATAAGAGAATAACTATTTCATTGTACAGCCTGAAATGGAGAAAGCTTTTTCACTGACAACAACCAGTCTTTGTCACATTTCCCTTTCCCTTCAGATAAACACTTTCAAGAAAAGGCCTCTTAACTGTTTCAGAAACAAAGAACTAGTGGGGGGGAAAAAATCAATTGATAAATGGAAAAAGTGTTCCCTGGGCCAGCTGATAATTTTAGACAGTGAATGTACCATCAGATCATTCACATTCCTGTCAAGGTTAATTTAAGAAAATACAACTTCACAGCACTAGTTCTCACTGTGTGTAAGTATGCTCAAGGACAATCCTGGGAAAAGGCCGAACTCCTTGTCTAGTACTATCAAGAAGGAGAACTATGCAATGTCCTGTTTTGCAATATGGTGTTAAAAACTGTCTCATCTACCTTGCCCTTATCACACGTCTGATTACATTATGGAAACCCTTACATGGCTTCTTATTTCTCCCAAAGCCATTACAAATCCTGCAGTAAATAGTATTATTATTGTGTTGTTTAGAGAAGAGAAATCACCACCTCATGGTCCCATTAAATTAAAAACAGTATCATCACTGCAAGACAATCTTTTGGGACATAAAGTCGGGGCCAGATAGGAAAACCCCTTTTGTCATGCAAATTAAAAAACCCCCAACAAACCCAACCCCCCTTCTGTTTAAGTCTCCTTCCCCACCAAAAATATCCAGGTCTGGCAACACAGGTCTTTACCCACAGCATGGTAAGAGTGCTGTTGGCAGCAGCAACAGCTGCTGAAGGAGTTCTTTCGGAAAGAGCTGAAGGGCAAGAGGGGAACCATTTCTGTGACCACTTCATTCTTTGGTTCCCCCTGTGCTGTCAGCAGGAGTCTAAGGTGTGGCTGTCACTTCCAGACAGAAAATCACCATTTTTTTCACCAGAGAGGCAAATCTGTCAACAGATGTATTAATCACAGGTTGTTCCTTTCCAATGCCACAGGCCAACTTTCCTAACTGTATGTAAAAAGCCTTGGAAGCAGAGCTCAGCAGCCCAAGCTGCTGTCAACCAGAGAGGCACGAAACGGAGGCAGAAGCTGCAGCTCGTTAAGGAAAGGACTGTACCCCAGCTCCTGAGCACACTGGCTTGCAGATCAGACACATCCCATCAATAAAGTGACTGGAATTATCTTGCCTCTGTGAAAAGAAGCCTTTCCCAGATCTTTCTGGGAAGTCTTGTGTGCAGCCAGAACAAGAATGATCCTCTTTTTCATAGTACTCTTGAAAGGCTGCAGACTTTGCTACAGTGGAGGAAACCAACACCTAGGCCAAGAGCAAACACCATAGCTCCAAAGCCTCTTCAAAACAAGAGCCAGAAATTATATAACCACTATGAAAATATACCTTCCTTTTCACTGTACATTGTTCTTTGTTACACAAGCTACACTGGACTGTTGTCTTCTTTTACAATTTTCAATTACCTATTGTTTAAAGAGCAATACTTCAAACTAGTTTTGTCCTTTTCTGCTGTAGCTATGTAGCACTTCTTCACAATCAGTAGTCAAATGACCAGTCAGGATGAACAAAGCACAGCAGAAAGTTTGGGGTGGCAGACCCCATTATCCCCAAGCTACAGCTCACAGGATCCCCTTCTTGTGTCTTGTGGTAGGAGAGCTGTGATGATTTCTGAGAAGTGGTGAGCCACTGGAAGCCAAAATTACTTGAACAGATATACCACAGACCACATGGGATCACATCCTTTGCAAGCTTTGCATCCAAAGACTTTGCATTCTATATTGCTGACTAATCAGGGCGGTTTGGAAAGCAGCAACACCGGACAGGAAATCCAGCTCTGAGGCTAATCTCAGTTCCACTTGACCTCACAATCTAAGAACACAACACTTTCTTATTCTATTAACAATTTCCAACCCTCATTTATCAGGCATACTGAGAGCTCTAATTTTAAATCAGTGTTTAAAATATGGATCAGTCCAAAAGAGGTCAGTAAGCCAAACTGCACTGATCACACAAAATATCCTCTTTCCCACCCTTAAAAAAATCAGGTATGATCAGAAACCCAAGTACTGAAAACCAAAGCATTCCATCCTTACTATTTGGTGAAGTTGTTCAACAGCAGTGTTGTAAAAGAGCAAGGATACAGAAAGCCATCTCTTGGAAAACAGCATCCACACCACCGCGGGTTGAAGGCAAGGATTCTGACAAACATCCCATAAGCACACCACCTAGTGTGTCTGACTAACAGTTTACTAAATCTGTCAAACCCAATATCCTCTCAAGCACAATCACTGGAAGAAACCCAGGGAAAACTCACAGACCACCGAA